AGCCAGAAGTGGGGCTGACGCTCAAGTGGTAGAATGCTAGCCTTCAGCTGAAGAGCTGAGGGACAGCGCCCAGGCCTAGCTTTCAGGCACTACGACCGACCAAAAAAAAAATAAAGAAAGGAAGGAAAAAGAAAGAAAATGAGTCCATATTATAAAAACTATAATTTACAGTATCCAGACCTTCTGTAGGGCTAGATACTTTGCACTACTATGATATCTAGCTAATCTATTGCTTCAGCCTGTCTATCCAGTAATAATATTTGAACCATTTTGATAGAAAACTGAAATATATTTATAGTTTTCTACTGTCTATAACAAGTTATATTGAGTATAATTTAATCATTATTTAGTGGCTACAAGTCAAAATAAACATTAGCTATATAGCACTATGATATTATTACAATAGTGTGTGGAGCCCAGGTGTGGACAACTACATCTATGTCAATAGCCTCAACTTATGAGGGAGAGGATAAACTTTATCTGTCATATAGACATATCCTATCACTGTAAACTCTATGGAAAGAGACCATATGGTAGAACAGCATCTCCATTATTTACTGTTTCTAATCTGTCATGGCAGATCACCAAGCATAAAAGCACCATTTAAAATGGGTCTGGGCAGCAGGACACAAGTTGCTCACATCTGTCATCCTAGCTACTCAGGAGGCTGAGATCTGAGGATCACGGTTCAAAGCCAGCCACAAAAGCAAAATCCATGAGACTTTTATCTCCAATAAACCACCAGAAAACCGGAAGTGGTGCTGTGTCTCAAGTCATAGAGTGTGAGTCTTGAGCTGAAGAGCTGAGGGACAGCGCCCAGGCCCAGAATTCAAGCCCATGACTGACAATAAATAAATGAATAAATAAAAGGTCTGGTATTGAAATTTTAACAAAGCAAGTGCAACATGGCAAAACTGTTGTGATGATGTGAGGATGGCTAACACTGAGCACCTAGCATGTGTCAGGAATTGTGGTAAGGTCAGCCTGCATGCATGACCTAAAACAATACCCAAATCTTAGCTTGTGGATGCAGAAACTAAGGTTCAAAGTGGCTAATTTAAAGAAAGCCAAGCACGGGCTAGTGGTGGCAGTGGGTTGTGAATCCAGGCAGCCTGGTTTAGTAAAATGCTACATTGCTTGAATAAATGGATATTAAACATTAATCAGAGTAACTTTAATTTGTAATAACTTGTTTTCCAGTGGAAGTCTTCTTGGCTGACTACTTTCTGACTCTCAATAGGTAAAAATGGTTATGCATAAATATTACACTGATAAACCAAAGAGATAAAGCATAAAAGCTAGATGTGAAAGGTCCATGAACCACGACATTCTATTTTTTTTTTTTTTGGTCCGGTTGTGGGGCCTGAACTCTGGGCCTGGGCACTGTCCCTCAGCTCTTCAGCTCAAGGCTAGCGCTCTACCACTTGAGCCACAGCGCCACTTCCAGCTTTTTTCTTTTTGCTTATGTGGTGCTGAGGAATCGAAACCAGGGCCTCAGGCATGCAAGGCAAGCGCTCTACCACTGAGCCACCTTCCCAGCCCACGACATTCTATAGATGAGTCCCCAAGTAGAGGCTACAGAGATCTGTGTGTATTAGGGTCATCAGGGAGGGTTTTAAGAAGCTAATACCTAAGCCCAAGCAGTGTAAGAGGAAGGGGTGGAGTGAGAAAAGGAGGCATTCTGTATCTTAAGAAGATGCACAAAGTCTCCGTGAAGTTAAGAGGAAGGAATCATAAATATCTGAGTAAACAAACACAAGTGGTTTGAAACATCTATGCTGACTGCAGCTGAAGTTCCTTAAACAGCTGGACAAAGGTAAGCTGCAGCTGTCAGTACTAGTGAGATAGCACATAGCAGTTAAAGGCCAGACCTAAAGCTAATTCCACAGCTCTCACTAAATAACTTAAGAGTCCTTGGCAGAGACAGAGGTTTGGGGCACAGGAGGCTGACCTCTACTCATTTCAAACCAACAAAGAGAAGACATGCTGACCTAGGGATTATTTAAATGTATCGTTTCATTTGCCCTGAAATCTTTCAGTAGGTCTAACCAGAATCACCTCTAATTTATGAAAGACATAATGTAACTAGTGCCTGAAGATCCTCCCTGCCCTGAGGAGCTGCAGCACTGGGAGGCTGGGAAGCTCTTAGGAGTCTACAGTCCCTACAATGGACCCAGGAACAAGTGAGAAGTCAGGTCTAACCCTAGGGAAGGGAAACACTTCCCACACTTTTTCTTTTTTTAATCTGTCACGGGGCTTGAACCCAGGGCCTGGGTGCTGTCACTGAGCTCTTTTTGCTCGAGGCTAGCATTCTACCACTTGAGACACGTCTCTGCTTCAGGTTTTCTGATGGTTACTTGGAAATAAGAAGAGTCTCAGGGACTTCCCTGCCTGGGCTGGCTTTGAATGATGATCCTCAAATCTCAGCCTTTTGAGTAGCCAGAATTACAGGCATGAGCCATCAGCACCTAGCACACCCCCTCCCCCATACTTTATGACAGAGACTGGATACATTAGCAGGAAAAGCAAGGTAAAAACACTGTGCTCAACAGACCTCCTAGTCTTGCTTAATTCCATAGCAACTAAATCTTTGGGAAAAATTTTACCACTCTCTAAATGAAAGCACCAAGAATGCCTTCATAAATGTACTGGAGGGAGAAAGATATATCAAAGTTTTCTGCTTTCATAGGATATGCTAGGGAGAGGTGGGGGGGGGGGGATATGCAAGGGAGGTGTGTGTGTGTGTGTCTGTGTTGTTTGCCAGTCCTGGGACTTGAACTCAGGGCTTAAGCACAGTCCCTGTGCTTTTACGCTCAAGGTTAGAGCACCACCACTTGAGTAACAACTCCACTTCTGGCTTTTTGGTGGTTAATTGGAGATAAGAGTCTCAAAGATGTTCTTGTTTGAACTATAATAGTCAGATCTCAGCCTCCTGAGTAGCTAGGATTATGTGAGCCACTGGGGCCCCCGCTGGAGGGTTGAAGTATCTCTGGCAAACTTCCAAATGTTACATCATCAACTCCTTATAGAGACAGAGGCACCTCCAAACTTACATAGTCTTTTCCTCACCTCTCAGACAGCAAAAGTGCCAAAGAATCTAGGTAGGATTCAAAACCTAACTCATAGGCTGTAGGTGTGGCCCAAGTGGTAGAGTGCCAGCCAAGCAAGAGAGAGGGCCCGAGTTCAAATCCTAAGACAGGCAAAAATAAAAATAGAATTCCTAACTCATACATTCAGCCTCCATTTATTGAGCACCTGTGAGTCACCTGGTTCTAATCTAAGGTCCTACAAATATAAACATAAGACGTCTACTAATCCATACTAATTATCTTCAAGGGGCCTACCTAATCAAGTTCTCCTTATGCCCTATAAACACCAGAAAAGTCATCTTTCTCATTTCCATGCCTCTGAGCATGGTGTGCCCACCCACCTGGCTATGCCCACCATACTTGATCTACCCAAGACCTTATAGCCTTCAAAATCGGCTTACACCCTCACTTCCCCAGGGTCCTGAACTCAAAGTGAGTGAGGCTCACCTCCCAAAGTGGTGTCCTTTTCTCTCAACTAGCAACAAGTACACTGGGTACCACCATGTGTATTTGGAAATTGATCATCCTCTAATTGATAACTTTTTATGTATCAAACTTGTCTTGAGTATCAACTATAAGCCAGTATTGTTCCAAGAGCTGGAGAAATAGCTAGCAAAACAGTACTGGATTTTTTATTTTCTTCCCCATGGGAAGCTCCTGGGGAGGGTTCTTGTTTTACACTGCTTTTAAAAAAAAAATCTTCCTATAAAGATCTGGGTTAGGACTGGGAAGGTGGCTCAGTGGTAGAGCGCTCGCCTTGCATGCCTGAGGCCCTGGGTTCCATTCCTCAGCACCACATAAGCAAAAAGAAAAAAGCCAGAATTGGTGCTGTGGCTCAAGTGGTAGAGCGCTAGCCTTGAGCTGAAGAGCTGAGGGACAGCGCCCAGGCCCAAAGTTCAGGCCCCACGACCAGAACCCCTCCCCCCCCCCCCAAAAAAAAAAAGATCTGGGTTAGTCCTCTGTGCTTAATACCTAAAGATTTATTGGAGCCTTGGGCTTCTTCAGTTCACATTAGTTCAAATTGAAGTTGCATAAACTAATAGGGAACAAAAGCTAATAAAGCCATTTCTAAATGAACTTCCACTTCTTAAAAAACCTCAGCAGAACAAGGAAGGAAAACAGACTCTGAAAGCCCTGCTGAGCAAACACATTTTACTCACACAGTGGAGGCATCTCCAGTCTCCCTTCCAAGCCACACAAAAGTGATCTCTCCCCTTCCCCAAGCCTTGCAGCCAATAAATTTAACATCGCAAAAACGTTGAAAACGCCTAGTTTCCTAAACACGTTATTTCTTCACGTGCAAGCGCTCCATGAAACCAGGCATATGCTATCTAGACGAATCCACCGAGACTATTAAGGAACAATTTAAACTTCAAGCACAAGAACGGCTCAAAGACGGATATTTCGAATGTGATAAATCCAGAAGCAATTTTAATTTAAACAAAAGCCCAATCCAACAGAGCCTGGTAGAAAATTCCAAGTTCGTAAGTGAAGGAAACCAACAGATTTTCCTGCAGGGCAGCCGCCAAGGCTGCCCGACGTGGGAGTTTCTCCGGGAGGTGGGAAGACTTCGTATGTATTTGCTCGAAAGTGGCTTTTGTGAGAAGCGACAGCTGGCACCCTAGAGCGGGCAAGGGTGAAGCCGGGCTGTGCCATGCGGCGGAGGCTGCCACCTGGGCACTCCCACCATTCTTCGCAGTCGGGTCGGGACGCGAGACCGGCAGAGCCCGGCGCCGCGCACAGCCGCGCGCCCCCTCCGGACCCGCGCCCCGGGGCGCACCGCGAGCGAGCCCGCCCGCACGCCCGCCCGCCCGCCCGCCCGCGGCTCGGAAGCCTCCACCGGGATCCCGGGGGACCCAGGAGACCCGCGGGGGAGGCGGTCCCCGAGGCGGCCGGGCCCCGCGCACCCACCTGAGCAGACTGGAGAGGGGATGACTGGAACTGCCGAGGCCGCTGCCGCCGCCGCCGCCGCCGCCGCCACCCGCGGAGCCGCCGCCGCCGCCGCCGCCGCTGCCCCCGAAGCCTGAGGAGAGGCGCTTCCCGGACAGCAGCTTCTCCACGGCCGGGAGGTGCCCGGTGCGGGCCGCCTCCAGCAGCTCCTGCTCCTTCCCCATCCCCAGGGTCACCACCCCCTGGACCCCCTCCCCGGGGCCGCCGCCGGTCTTGCACAGGCTCCCAAACTTTCCGTCTCCGGGCAACGCACCCCCCAGACCAGCCGGGGACACCACCCCCTCCCCCCTGGCTCTTCCCCCCCCCCTGGCTCTTCCCCCCCCCCGTACGGGCGCGTCACTTCCGGGATCCGGCGTCACGCGTCACCGCGCCCCTCGCCCCGCCCCCTTGCCCACCTAGCTGGGCGGGGCTCCGCGGAGTTGCACAGGTGGACTTTGCGGTGCCCCGCCGGCTTCGGCGAGCCCGGGATCCACGCCATCTGCTGGGAGAGGAAACAGGGCTAGGGGTTCGCGCCATCAGAAGCGCACTCCTTCCCCCAAAGGCTTTGGGAGCTCGCGGGACTGGAAACAGGCTATGCAGGCAGGATGGAAACAAAGGAATTTGGTAATGCACGCCTACATTTCCAAGTCCATTCTTTAAGGATACATAAATTAGATTTGTAATGGGTGAGGGAGCCTAGCGCTGCGATGAAGGGAGAAAAAATTTTAAATAGAAATCTTACTTCCAGTCTATGAAAAGACTTAAATGAAACAAACTTTCAAAAGAGACTTCCCTCAAGGTAGGATTTCTTTTTGGTAATATTCAACAAACTGATACATTTTTTTAAGTTATAAATGGAGAATTGGTAAATACCTATGTGTATTCTGTCCCTTGGTACTAGCCCTGTTCCTGACTGGAGGCAGGTGGTGGTCATAATTGAGTGAAATGGATAAATTCTGCTAAAACTGTATGACTCCCCCCTCGCCTCGTTTAGATGCTTGCTATACACTTAAAAGGGAAATGCTACAGTTCCTTTATAAACAGAGCCCCGCGTCTCGGTGCACGTGAAATAGATGAGTAGCTGCTTGAAAGTTTGTCAGCCCAAGGTGGTCTCATTCCAAGACCTCCAGCATACAGTGGTGTCCCCCAACTAAACTCGGGAGACTTAGTAGCCAGAGGCCAGTACCCACTCTAGAGGCTGAGGTAGAAGGATCGTGGTTCAAAGCCAGCCCTGGCAAGAAAGTCCGTGAAACTCCTTTATCTCCAATTAACCATCGAAAAGCCAAAAAGGAAATGGAGGTGTGGCTTAAGTGGTAGAGCGCCAGCCTTGAGCACAAAAGCTCAGAGACAGCGCCCACGCCTTGAGTTTAAGCCCCCCCCCGGGGGGGCGGGTAGGGTAAAGAGAGGGACGGAGCTAGTTTAGGAGGTAAACTAACTAGGTAAACATTTCTACAGAGGATGAAATGAACAAATAAAAAGCTGCGTTCCTCCAGAAAGAAAGCGTGTTTCCTAGAGCGGAGAATCAGAAAATCAGTCAAATCGTTCGCGCGCGCCTCTAAACGGCCCCTCCGCGGAGCCGTAGGAATGATGTCATCACGGCGCGACCACAGGAAGTAAGTTTCGGGCTCCTCCGTGCGCGCTTCTCTGTGCGGGACCCTCATCTCCACGTCCCGACCGAGCCGCGATTTCTCAGCTCCTTCCGGAGATGGACAATGGCGGGGAGTCGCCCGCAGACAAAAGTGGGGAGACGGGAGAGTCAGATGAGCCGACCGCTGCTCCCAGAGAGCCAGGGCCTACGGACACCGATGGAGTACCTGAAGAAACGGACGGGGACGGAGACGCGGACCCGAAAGAGGCCGCAGCGGAGGAAGGCGAGGTAGGGACCGGGATGGCGAGCGGGGAGGAACTGTCGGGGTTGTCACGGCCTGCTCGCCCCGAATCCAGGCTTAGCGCCTCCTCCCACACCGGTGAATTCTTTCTAAATCTGCAATCTCGAAGGAGATTCGGTTCCAGGGGCGAAATACTGATGTTTTGAATCCTCGCCTTTAGGGACTAAACCTCCTGACGAAATTTAAGTTAGACCTCTCTTTTCCTGGTGAGGAAATTTAAGGTCCAACGTCATACTAAAACTTACTGCCATCATTAAAACCCAAGATTGCGAGCACCCCTTTCGACCTCAGCTTTTGTGTTTAAAGGTGGTAGAGTCCACCTAAAGGCAGATTTTGAAGAAGTTTGTTGTCAAATCTTGTTCTTAACCTCTTGGGACATTTAAATCCTACTAATGACTGGTTATGCTAATATTAAAACCGCAAACCTGTCAGTTTTACCACTTGAAGGACCCAGTATTGTTGCCTAGCCCTGCAACATTAATCTCAGCGTTATGGGTTCCATTTCTAGAGGTAGAGTCCTAGTCTTAGAGTGAGAATGCACTTGATCTTTTTATATGTAATCAACTCTAGTAAAAGAGATCCTGTTGATCTAAAGGTCTGATTTGCTGGCTGATGGAGAGGACTTCGTTGTCATCCCTTAAAAAAAAAAAAAAAATAAGGTCCAAAGAGGAGGCCAGAGGAGAGTGGTTGTTTTGATCCTTGGCATTTCCTTGCCCTTGTAAACAGACACAGGAGCTGTGATAAACAGGTGGAAGATAGAATTATTTATTTTCTTTCGTAGCTAGGCTATAATAATCTCTCTTTAAGGGACTGGGAAAGTGGCACAGTGGTAGAGCACTTGCCTTGCATGCCTGAGGCCCTGGGTTCGATTCCTCAGCACCACATAAGCAAAAAGAAAAAAGCCAGAAGTGGCGCTGTGGCTCAAGTGGTAGAGCACTAGCCTTGAGCTGAAGAGCTGAGGGATAACACCCAGGCCTAGAGTTCAGGCCCCACGACAGGACCCCAAAAAATAAAAAAATAAAAATAATCTTCCTGTAAGAGAAAGACTGTCTTACACTTCATGCTACGTTAACTGCTTAGAACCAAAGCACTGCTCAATAGATTCTAAGCCAGATATACAACAGGATTTCTCATTTTTCCAGCTCAAGAGTCAGGATGCCTCAGATTTAACAGCAACTGAAAGGGAAGACACATCACTACTTACTCCTGCTGCCAAAAAGCTGAAAATAGATACCAAAGAAAAGAAAGAGAGGAAGCAAAAGGTGGATGAAGATGAGATTCAAAAGATGCAGTGAGTCACTTTCTGATTAGTCCCCATTTCGAGGCAAATTCACATTTTTTTTCTTTTGGCACTTAATTATTTGTCTTAAAATGAAGTGGCCAGGTACACTGGCTCAAGCCTGTAATCCTAACTACTTGAGGAGGGGGAAGAATTGCAGTTCAAGGCCAAACCAGGCATAAAAGTTCATGAGACTCTATCCCAACCAATGGCTTGGTGCAGTGGTTTAAGTTTGTTAACCCAGCGGTGGTCTTGGGGCAGTGAATGCACCTGTCAATCCCTAGTGACATCAGAAAGCACAATTAGGATCACAGCTCTTGCCAGCCCAGACATAAAGCAAGACTCTACCTACCTTAAGAATAACCAAGGCAATACTCACTAGACACAATGTTGAACATGAGCTATACAACTTGTGGGTGGGATGGAAGGGAAAAACTGGGAGAGAGCAAGGGGAGGGTAACATAGTCCTAGCTACTCAGGAGGCTGAGATTTGAGGATTGAGGTTCAAAGCCAGCTTGGATAGATAAGTCTCTAAGACTCTTATCTCCAGTTAACCACCAAGAAGCCTGAAGTATAGCTGTGGTTCAAGTGATAGAGCAGAGTCTTAAGCAAAAAAGCTCAAGGACACCAGGTGCCAGTGACTCTTACCTGTAATCCTAGCTACTCAGGAAGCTGAGACCTAAGGATTGTTGTTTGAAGCCAGCCTAGACAGCAAAGTTTGTGAGACTCTTATCTCCAATTAAACATCAAAAAAGCTAGAAGTAGAGTTGTGGCTGTGGTAGAGTGGTAGCCTTCGGCAAGAAAACTCAGGGAAACTCAGGCCCTGAGTTCAAGCCCCAGGGCTACATACAGACACGCATGCACAAATAGTAAATAGAGACATGACTCAAGTATTTAGGCCATTTCTTACCAAGGGTAAAGCCCTGAATTCAATCCCCAGTGCCCCCAAAAGGAAGAAAAAGAAAAATAGTATATTATAGAAAATACATTAGGAGGGGCTGGGAATGTGGCTTAGTGGTAGAGTGTTTGCCTAGCATGAATGAAGCCCTGGATTTGATTCCTCAAACCACATATGCAGAAAGAGCAAGAAGTGGCACTGTGGCTCAAGTGGTAGAATGCCAGCCTTCAGCAAAAAGAAACTCAGGGACAGTGTCCAGGCCGAGTTCAATCCCCAGGACTGACAAGGAAAGAAAGGAGGGAAGGGAAGGGAAAGGAAGGGAATGGGAGGAGAAGGAGAAGGGGGAAGGAAAAGAAGGAGACAGTAGGTTATGTAAAATTAAAACATCTGGGTATGTCAGCAGATATGCCCATAAATTGTTCTTAATGGCTACAGTGGATGTGGATGAACCAACCATAATTTTACCTATCACCTGTCACTGCTCTTGTTGAACTTTGTTAGCTTTAAGTAGTTGTACAAAGGAGCTACCATTTAACAAATGAAAGTACCATGCATCTTGATTTATATCACTGTCCCCTATCTTTTTGTGCCGGTCCCAGGGCTTGCACAAAGAACATAGGCACTATCCATTATTTTTTTTTTTTTGGGTCGGTTGTGGGGTTTGTACTCAGGGCCTGGCCACTGTCTCTGAGCTTCTTTGTGCTCAAGGCTAGCATTCTACCAATTGAGCCACAGCTCCACTTCAGATTTTTGAGTGGCTAATTGGAGATAAAAGTCTCATTGGGGCAGAAAAGTCACACCAGCTTTCAAACCTTGATCCTCAGATCTCAGTCTCCTGAGTAGCTAGGATTACAGAGGTGTGCTACTAACACCAGGCTTGTCTCTGATCTTTTTAACTCAAGGCTAGTGCCCTACCACTTGAGCCACAACTCCACCTCAGGCTTTTTGGTATTTAATTGGAGACAAGAATCTTAGACTTTCCTGCCTGGGCTGGCTTTGAACTACACTCCTCACATTTCAGCCTCCTGAGTAGCTAGAATTACATGTGTGAGCCATTGACACCCAGCCAGTATCACTTTTATCATTTTCCCCATCCCTTCCAACCCTCAATTTTCCTAGTACATTCTGATGTATTTTGACACATCTCTGGACACGTCCTAATATAAACTCCTAGAGGGGCTGGGAAGGTGGCTCAGGGGTAGAGCACTTGCCTTGGCATGCATGAGGCCCTGGGTTCGATTCCTTAGCACCACATAAGCAAAAAGAAAAAAGCCGGAAGTGGCGAGTGTGGCTCAAGTGGTAGAGCACTAGCCTTGAGTTGAAGAGCTGAGGGACAGCGCCCAGGCCCAGAGTTCAGGCCCCACGACTGGACCCAAAAAAATAAATAAATAAACTGCTAGAACTGCATTGCTAACTCAGTCATGTGAATATTTTTCAAAGGCTTTTTATACATATTTCTACATTTATGAAAAAAATGTTATCTTGTTTTCATTGATCATTTTAATTTCCTTAGTTAATAGTGAATAATATTTATGGCCTTTGGTATTTTTTTTAATTTCCCATTTGTATCCTTTGTTTTGTTTTTGTTAATACCAAGGCCTTGCACCCTTGGCTTGCTTGCTCACAGCTGGCACTCTACTCCTTGAGCCTCACCTCCAGCCCTGTGTTTTGCTGGTTATTTTGGAGATGGGAGTTTTGTGGACTTTTATGCCCTGTATGGCTCTGAATTGTGATTCTCTGAATCTACACCTCCTGAGTAGCTTTTAGATATAAGCCACTGATACCCAAACTTTGTTCATTTTCTAGTTGGTTTGGGCCTTTTTATTTTTTTTAATAATTATACATTGAGTATTAATCACATTCTATATTTTTTGCAAATAACTTTTCTCTAAATCTGTTAATGTTCAAAACTCTGATTTAATGTAATTTTATATTTACAATCAATTTGATATAAATTATATCAATACTGTAAGAATTTGAGCATCCAGCCGGGGGCCAGTGGCTTATGCCTTTAACCTAGCTACTCAGGACGCAGAGATCTGAGGATAATGGTTCAAAGCGAGCCCAGGCAGAAAAATTCCATGAAACTTTTATCTCCAGTAAACTACCAGAAAACCGGAAGTGGCACTGTAGCTCAAGTAGTAGACCACTCACCTTGAGCTAAAGAGCTGAGGGACAGCGCTCAGGCCCAGGGTTCAAGTCCCACGACCAATTTAAAAAAAAAAAAAAAAAAAGAATTTGAGCGTCCATTTTTACTAACCAATTAATTACCTAATTGCCTAGAATCCTGGTTTCTTCGTTTTCTGAGGAGCAGCTGAACCGCTATGAAATGTATCGCCGGTCAGCTTTTCCTAAAGCAGCCATTAAAAGGGTAAGAATGAACCACCACACTTTATTTCCTGATCAGATACTGAAACTAAACCAGATTCTGTTTTGAAGCAAGATATTAAGCAAATCAGTAAATAATTTAGGTGGGAAAGTAAAAATAACATCCTTCTTAATTTTCTGACCAATTCCAATTTGTATGCAAAGTATAGTATGAAACAAGCCATTATCCACTGGAATACTTAATCGTCTTGGTTTCAGCATTTAGCCTTTAGGAAACTGCGTTAGTGCATACCACACTTATTGGCACTACATTCCAAAATGAGTATTTTACCATTGTAATCACAAGATTTTGTCTTTCTTTAAAGCTAATCCAGTCCATCACTGGCACATCTGTATCCCAGAATGTTGTTATTGCTATGTCTGGTATTTCCAAGGTTTTCGTCGGGGAGGTAGTGGAAGAAGGTGAGTAGTGGTTGTTGGTTACTTATGCTGGTTTGATTTACAAGAATATCTACACCAAGGAACTTTCGAAAAGCACCTGTGAGTTCCCGGGTTCACTAGAAGCTGCTCATGTATTCAGAGAAGCATGACCATTATTTCTTGAAAGTTTCAATAGTGGAGGGCAAGGAAGCATTTAGGAAATTCCTTTTTCTCATTCCTTGTGTATGGCTAACAAGTGTGATTTTGTGATTATCCCTGATATTGTTACCTCTAGGAACTGTCCACTTTGTTCATCAATAAAAAGCCTAGCTATGGGTCTAGGAAGGTGGCTCAGTGGTAGAGTGCTTGCCTGGCATGCATGAGGCCCTGGGTTCGATTCCTCAGCACCATATAAGCAGAAAAAGCCAAAGTGGCACTGTGGCTCTAGCGGTAGAGCGCTAGCCTTGAGCTGAAGAGCTGAGGGACAGTGCCCAGGCCCAGAGTTCAGGCCCTACTACCGACCAAGAAAAAAGGGGGGGGAGAGGCAAAAAAGCCTAGCTACTTCCCATTAGTCACCTGTAGCTCATGAAATACTTTTCTTATGCAGATGTATGTTTTAAACTCTTACCTATAATAAAGTACCCTATGTGATTGCTAAAGCTAACATTCTCTTAAGAGGGGAAAATGGTGGTTTCAGTGGCTCATATCTATTAATCATAGCTATTCAGGAGACTGATATATGAGGATCACATTTCAAAGCCATCCAGGGCAAAAAAGTCCAGATTTATTTTTTTTATTTTTCCGGTCCTGGGGCTTGAACTCTGGGCTTGGGCACCATCGCTGCCCTCTTCAGTTCAAGGTGAGTGCTCTATCACTTGAGCCACAGTGCCACTTCCAGTTTTCTAGTTGTTTATTGGCGATAAGAGTCTCACGGACTTTTCTGCCCAGACTGGCTTTGAACTGTGATCCTCAGATCTCAACCTCCTCAGTAGCTAGAATTACAGGCGTGAGCCACCAGCGCCCGGCTCCATAAGATTATTATCTCTGAAAAAATCTGGAAGTGGAGCTGTGACTCAAGTGGTATAGCACTAGCCTTAATCCAAAAAGCTCAGATACAGCACTCAGGCTGAATTCAAGCCCTGGAACTGGCAGGCACATACACAAACACAAATAGGGTAATATTGTGATTTCCTTACTACATTTAAAAAGCATTAACCACAATTTGTTGCCGCTGGCTAACAGCTCTCCTGGCTACTGAGGAGGCTGAGATCAGAGCATTGAGATTCAAAGCTAACATGGGCAGAAAAGACTATCTCCAGTTAACCCAGAAAAAGCTTAAAGTGGAGGTATGGCTCAAGTGGTAGAGCAACTACCTTGAACAACAAAAAAAAACTAATCGAGAGCATGGGGCCCTTTGTTCAAGCCCCATTGCCAGCAAACAGACACATATATAGACACATAGAAAAGCATTAGCCAGAATTTTGAAATTCAATTAAGGATTGTGGCTAGTAAGTTCTTGTGTGATGTTTTTTTCCTTTCCCTGTGCAGCCCTGGATGTGTGTGAGAAGTGGGGAGAAATGCCACCACTACAGCCCAAACACATGAGGGAGGCTGTTCGAAGGTTGAAGTCAAAGGGGCAGATCCCTAACTCAAAGCACAAAAAAATAATCTTCTTCTAAAACCAATCCTGGAAAGGCCCATTGCTGACAGGGGATGTCCTGGTGCTTCAGTAAGTAGCTGTCTTCTGAATATTCCATGGTGACAATTTTCATGTCTTTATCCAAACAAGTATTCATTGCACCTAAAAGGCATACAGTCTACTTCAGATTTGTAATTAATTTTGGCCTCTTATGACATTTGAGGTATTTCAGTCTCTCAGCTCATTGGAAGGTTCATGGATCTTCAGCATCTTTTAAACAGACGTGCTGCTTTCAGACAAAACCCTGAGAATTCTGATGGTGGTTTCCCATTGAAGCTTAAACTTGCTATTTAAAAAAAGTTATTACCTCTGGTTTTCAGTAGATGAAACAACCAGAAACTATCACTTGTGATACTTACCATGGAAGATATGATGGTTAGTGAAATAATTTGTGCTTGTTAACACTAAAAATTTTCTGTGACTTTTGATGATCATTAAACTTTTCCAACTTGATATATGTTATTCATTTTGTGTCTAGCTCGTTGGAACAGGGAGAGGTTGATCTTTTTTTTTAAATGGTATCCAAATAAAATTGCTCTTAGCTTTTTTCATAAAATTTTGTGAGCTTTTCCTGTTTTCTGTGAGATCCATTAAAATTTTAATTCACACTAGGCACCGGTGGCTCTTTCCTGTAATCCTAGCTACTCAGGAGGCTGAGAACTGAGGATCATGGTTCAAATCCAACCTGGGCAGGAAAGTCTGTGATACTTACCTCCCATTAACCACCAGAACACTGGAAGTGGTGATGAAACTCAAGTGGTAGAGTGCTAGCTTGAGCTGAAGAGCTCAGGGACATTGCCCAGGCCCAGAGTTCAAGCCCCACAACCAACAAAAAAATTCACAAATAAGCACTTCAAGCACTGGTTAAAACCATGAAAATCCTCAGCACTCAGAAGGCTGAGACAGGATGAGAGCTCAAGGTCAGCCTGGGTTACATATCTAGACATTGTCTCAAAACACAAATAAAATTAAAAGTCACACATTTCAAATACTATAGATATACCACAGCCAATATTGTTTAATAAGTTTTAATTTGCCTTTTATTAAGTGGTTCACAGAACCAGTACACTCAGGGTTTGATTAGATATTGCAACATTAAGGTTCCCAATACTGGCCAGGATTCCAGTTCATTACATACATTCTCATTGCTTCCTCAAACAGAGGGAAATGGAGTGACCTTTCATTGACAGTGTTGTTAGCAGTAATAAGGCTACTGTACATAATTGGCAATCCTCCAGAAGTCATTCCCATCTGTTGTTGCAGTGTCATAGAAATGTTTTGAAACTGTTCTCTTTTAAAGCTTCCTGAGCAGGTCTTAGAAAAAATTCCAGTTCTGTTTAGCACCCAAGTGGGGAAACAGCTTGGACTTACAAAGTTGGACAGATCTGATTTTTAGTATCTTTACATTAAAATTTATTGGCTTAGCCAATGGAGAAGACACTTCAGTGAGCATTTCACAAAGAAATGCTGTAAGACTCAGGCTAAGTCTTCACCAAAACTAATAAACTGACAAAAAAAAAAAAAAAAAGATATTCTCTGAGCAATAATAGGAACTTAACTCATGGGAACTTCACCTACTGCAATTGGGGGTACTGGATAAGGCTCAAACCAAATGAGAGGAAACTTAAGCATCTGTGTTGAAGCTTATACCAATGCATCTCCTTTTGTTCCATGGGAGACCAACGCCCATTGAATGATAGCTACTACCAACACCTGCACCAAGGTGAATGCAACATTCCTATTCTGGCAGGTCAGGAAGCAGCTATGCAAAAACTCCCATCTCTGAAAGGATGGTACATCACCAGACTCTCCAAAAGTGATAAATCACAGAACAGTAACACTTTTACAGTTGTCAACCAGATGTCATCATACTAGCTTGTGTACCAAAATTCACAATTTGACATACATACATGAATACATTCATGTGCATGTAAATGTAACCAAGTTCTCATACGGAAATACTTCCAATTACCTTCTTTCTACCAGTAACTACATAAATGAGTTTTAAGTAAAAGAAGAGGTATGTGAGGGTTAAAGAATTTATCCCTCATCTATAATACATATCTTTCAGAACCATGGAAAAGGAGTGAACTACAAAGTCAAAAGCAGCTATCATGTCAGAATCTACTTTTTCTTACATCAGAGACTTAGGTTAATTGTTCCAGTGAGTTGAAAAGAATTTTGAGATTGACAGCCATGCCTTCTGTCCAGTTAGATTTAACTCTAGTCCATACACACAAAAGCATAACCAGTACATGCATGTAAACAAAATCCAAATGACCATAGATGGCACGCCACTGTAAATGCTTCACAGCTGAAATGACAATGTGCAGTGGCTACAGGCTCGGAGAGGTAGCAGTGCTATCCTCCAGACGTTTCCTTGAGGTATGGTTATTTCTTGTTCAGTCTTACAGCTCCAAGGCAGAAAACAATTGTGGAGAGGGGAGTATACTACTATTTAATTCTAGTCTCCAATTTTACACTTAACCTGAAGATTACCACTTCATAATTCTTCATTGTGAAAAAATCCCCTCCATGAGTAATAATATGAGATTATACAAGATGATTTTTTTTATTAAAATCCATGGGATATTTACTACCCTACCACATTTCAAAAGGGAAGATTTCAAGACACAATGTCGCATAGACAAGAACTCAAGTTCAGAGAACCAGAAACGACAGCTTTGGCCATTAAGGGGTCTCCTTGATACCTACCAGATGGATTTCTATGAGTTTAAGGTAAGGCATACCAGGCAATGCCTATTAGGTGCTTTCTTTGCATGGAGGGATACAAGTAGAATATGGCGGGCAAGAAAGGAAAAGAATTGAATGTGATTTTAAATCAACTCAGGCGAGCCCAAGGTCGAATAATTCTATTTTCCAGCTAATGGCTATCCCTTGTCTTTCCTCCTGTAAAAATATTAGAAATGTCACATTGAGAAGATGAGCAATCCATCGGTTCAACATGTTGGTTGTAAAAGCACTAAGAGGCAGACTGGAGGACATATTTGCCCTCTTGGTTGTGTATCACCAAGCAACTCGTTTTAATTCTCTTAGGAGGCCATCATTTCAAATATTCCTCTTAAAATTCCCGTACCCACGTACAGTTTCCTAGAATACTTTTTTAGACAACAGACTCCTAGTTTCTGATTTGTTAAAGTACTTCCTTTTCCACAAGGTGGGGAGATAAAAGCCTAGATCTAGGGTCCTTTTTCCTGACAAACACTCCCGTCAGCTTTCATATTTGCAGAACAGCAGCTATATTTCAAAGACATATAAAATACCTCTGCCTCCAGATCTCTTTTGCTGTTCTCTGGACCTTTGGTCCCTTTACCACATATTTGATGATGTTACTAGGTATACATCAGTAATTTAAATGTACTGGTTTTACATGAGATGCTGTCTTGTGTTGTCCAGAGTACCCTGCCTGTTGGTTCCTAGAGGACAGTCAAACTTTTGGCTGGAGCAGCACATTGACCCCTCTTCCCTCTGTACAAAGCTTCCAGGTCTTTCCTGAGTTCTAACAGCTTGCTGCCATAGTAGTTGGCCACTCTTCCATAAATACATTACCATCTACTAGCTATGCTGAACCTCACTCATCCATTTGTGGGTATTCATAGTCCTGCTTCTGACCTTTCTTAGCTTACATGTTTTATCATCTTTATGTTGTTCCTTTCTTGACTTGTTTATCTCTTCTGATTTGCTTGGGATTTAGGGATATTTGATGATGTTGTAAAATATTACTTTTTTAAGAATCTTAAAAGTTGAACTATGAACAGATTCTTAGGAAACGTCCAGAGAGATGTTTTATTTTTTTCTAAGTCTAATTTTGTTTCCTAAGCCTGACAAATTTCCACAATCCCATAGTAAATGTTTTAAAGGTTGCCTTTGTAAACAGACTTGACAAAAGTCTGAATAAATTAGACCTATCTCTTCACAAATGCATGTTTCTTTTTAACCTCCAAAAAACTAGAGGATAGCTAGACATGGTGGTGCATGCCTATAATCCCAACCTTTGGGAGGCTGAGGCAGAAAAATATCAAGTTTGAAGCCAGCCTGGGCTGCTTGGCAAGACTTTTATCTCAGACACACACATGAGCACACACAGCTGGGGATGAGGCTCAACTGGAAGACTGCTTGGCTAGCAAGCATGAGGCCCTGAGTTCAAACTCAAGTACCATCAAAAAAAAAGAAAAAGAAAACAAAAACCAAGTATACAAGTCAAGCATGATTTTTTTTCATAAAATCACACTTTTTTTTTCTTTCAAAAGGTCATGTACAATTAAGACTTCAATGACATCATCAACTTATTGTTTTGTCATCTTGCCAACCCAAGGTGAGTTAGCTGATGAACTTCTGTGTACCAACAAGCAGTATGGGTAAAAGAAGAGTCTGGAAAGTTAGCTAAGAAAGAAAGAGAAACAACTCTTACAGGGCAAGGGAGAAAATGTAGATTAGAAGAAGGGGTTTGTTTTTACTTTAGTTAAAAGTACATGATTTTAAAAAGCCACAGTAACAGGAATGAGAGTCAACAGGCTGACATGTTTATGTGGAAGTTTAAAACACACAGCACCCAAACCACCAAGTGCTGAGGTGAGCACTGGCAAAAAAAAAAAATCACAGTGCTGGGAAAGCAGATGACCAGGAACCCAGGGAGACAGAGGAAGTGGCTTTTCAGGGACAGCTGTGGAGGACGTAGGCATAACTTGTAGGAGCTCAGAACTGAGCTCCCTACTGATCCTACCACAATATGCCTTCAGCCACCTCAGATTAAGTTGTTTTTTCCTTGAGTTGAATTTCAAATAAATTATGTTACAGAAGGGAAAGATGATATGGCTGAGTCACAACCGTTAACTTTCTCCCATAGCATCATGATGAAATTACAACAGAATGGAAGCTTGACCTGAAATACCTGACTGGCATACCAGCCAAGTAAGGGCCTGGTTCCCATTACAAACCAGGCAGAGTCCAGCAATCTCTTATTCTGTGCTCCTCCTGTTCCCACCCCTTTGCTTAGCTATTTCCTGTCCTCCTCCACTAGCCTGGCTAAAAGTCAGGCCAAAGACTTTTCAGGTCTGCTGCAGAAGTTCTATGTCATGGAATCTGGTGGCTGTGTGCATCACTGAAATGGCTTCTGCCATTTGTTCTCACGGGGCATTAAGGGAACCAAAGATGTCAACTACAAAACAAGATAAAATGGCCCTACCATGTGAAAATTCCACCTAGTATGCAGAGGACCTAAAGGCCTTATACAGCCAAGACAGGATGCTGAGCCACATATAAAGCTACTCCTATTTTCTAGGATGTGGTCCTGCATTGCCCTATCATCCATCCTGTTAGAACAGTGAGTGGAAAGCACACAACAAGTTAAAGTGCACACTCTCAGCCCCTCTGGCACCCACAACAGACAAAGCCCTCTGTGCTAGATGGTGCTATTGCTGGTGATCTCTTCTCTCCTTGGCACAGATGGCAGACCCACTGCTGTCAGAGCTCAAAGAGGGGGTTATATTTCCTAATCTCCTGGAGAAGTCTTTCTTTGTCCTGGTTGGCACTGGCCAATGCTTGTTTAGTTTCTGTGAGTTCTTTTTGTAGGGTAGGCAGTTCTTTCACCTAAGGAGCAATAAGAAGTTCACATTAGCAAACATGGTAATACCATCTGGCAACAACATCCAGAGAAGGGGAACAAGGAGGAAGAACTCAAACAGAAAAACCAACAGGTCAGGTCAGTGATCAAGAGAATTGAACCAGACCTTTCCAAGAGCCTAACTGCCCTTCGGATTTCCTCAGTATAGGGATCACAATAGGTGGAGAATGTGAGCAGCAGCCACTCAGCACCAGCTATGGCTTACATCCTCCAGATAGCACCTTCAGAAGCTGCTGTTAGGGGTCAGGAGGCCAAACCACACAGGTCACACAATGGGAAAGTAGCCCTTTCAGCCCTCCAGGGTTTTTTTTTTAATCAGCTTTCACAATCGTAGCGCCTAAGCTTTTAGGAAGATACAGTTCTCACCTGCTGTCCAAAAACCTCTTCTGTGGGCATGAGGAACACCTGTTCTTTTGCAGAATGGCTCTTTTCACCTTTAGGAATTTCTACCAATGGTCTATCCTGAGCAGCACCTGGAAAAAAAGGCAAAGTTCAAATTAACAAAACTGCTACTCACAAGAGAAAAAAGGCAGAGAGGCCAGGAGGCCAATGACACTCACCACTGATGTGGAATACACCGTCATCACTCCGCCTTAGCACAATGTGCTCCATGGCCACTGTGATAGGGACAGGGCCAGGAGACGTTGGATAGATTGGGGGGATATCATCCTGAGGAAAGAGGAAAACTATATGATGTCCTCCTTTCAGCTCAGGGCAATGCAGATAACAAACCAGCTTCCCCCACTCAACTTGAAGCAGTTGTATGCCACTGGTTCTCCACACGTCTGCATAATTAAATGTCTCCCATTTTAAAGATGCCAAAACAGGGCCAGACAACCTAAGGGCTTGCACATGAGTTTGCTGCATGCCAGATTCAGTGTCAGGTTAGGAACAAGGTTTCCTTACCCAACCAAGCCTTTTAATCCACACATTTATGTGCCCCTAAACACTGGCAGAGAAAACTAGTATTTTCTCATTTGATCTTTGCTGAATATTACCATGATAATAGGCTAACAATTGTGGTACTAGAATTTCAGGCTTGAGAAGACTAGACAAAAACCAAGGACTCTCTCACCTTTAGAGTAATACTGGAGTTCAGGAGCTCTATTTGCATGGGGACCACCACTGGGACTTCCTCATCCTCCAAGAAGGGCCCCAGACCATTGAGCACTGAAGTGAGCATCTCAAGGTCACAGCCCTGAAGGGAGAAATTCAGGAAGCCATTTTGCGTGGCCAGCGGGGAGTGAACAGCTGCACCAGGGCCCACTTCGAAGCGAAGGCGCACAGCTGGCCTGCTGTGAGAGCCAGTCTTCAAATTTGAGGATTCCTGGAAGCTTGCACCTTTAAGAAAGACAAAGAAAATAAGTCAACACAAGAACTATTTTGAGCACTTTACATATATATTGTATATTGATAATGACACTGTGGTCAAAAGGATTATCATCGTATTCATTTTATCTGCCCATTAAAGAATTTAAAGGCAGAAAAACATTTAAAACAGATAGAGCAAAGCCACAAAAGTAATGACATTCTCTATTCAAAGAGGGGCTTGAAAGAACAGTCCAATGGAGTCCTTTCAGAGGGTGATTTTTGTAGTACTGAACTCCTCCCATACCTCCTCCCTTGGGCTCTGCTGATGGCTTCATGCCTGTGCCACCTGGGCTCTTTTAATTGGGTGGACTCCCATTTGAGCAGGAATCCAGGCACTATGGAAACAAGAAGCACCATGATGGGCCACATGTCATCTGTCCTGTGTTATGTCCACCACTTTTTTTTGGGGGGAGGAGGGGGGTCCACTTTTTTTGGGGGGGGGGAGGGGGGTCCAGTCGTGGGGCCTGAACTCTGGGCCTGGGAACTGTCCCTCAGCTCTTCAGCTCAAGGCTAGCACTCTACCACTTGAGCCACAGCACCACTTCCGGCTTTTTTCTGTTTGCTTATGTAGTGCTGAGGAATCGAACCCAGGGCCTCAGGCATGCAAGGCAAGCGCTCTACCACTGAGCCACCTTCCCAGCCCATGTCCACCACTTTTTAGCCTTATCTACTTTAAGTTCTAAAATTCTTTCCCTCAGAACCAAGTCACAGAAAATAACTTGCCCAAAGTGACACAATGGTAAGACACAAACCCAGGTAATCTGGCTTCAAAATCCATGAAGCTACTTTGCTATAATGCCTCCCAAGTTGGAAGAGAGAAGGACCAACAAAAAGCTGGCCTTCGGGGCTGGGAAGGTGGCTCAGTGGTAGAGCGCTTGCCTTGCATGCCTGAGGCCCTGGGTTCGATTCCTCAGCACCATATAAGCAGAAAAGAAAAAAAAAGCCGGAAGTGGCGCTGTGGCTCAAGTGGTAGAGCGCTAGCCTTGAGCTGAAGAGCTGAGGGACAGCACTCAGGCCAAGAGTTCAGGCCCCATGACTGGACCCCCCCCCCCCCAAAAAAAAAAGCTGGCCTTCAACTAGAAATGTGGTTCAAGTGGTAGAGAGCCTGTCAAGTAAGCCAGAGGCCCTTAGTTCAAACCACAGAAGGAAGGAGTTGGGGAGTGTGGGGGGGGTCTTTGCTCTGAATTTGAGGGGCTATATATTAGCCAAGGGAAAGCTTTTTTTTTGGTCGGTTGTGGGGCTTGAACTCAGAGCCTGGGTGCTGCCCCTGAGCCTCATTGTACTCAAGGGTAGTACTCTATCATTTGAGCCACAACTCCACTTCCAGTTTTTGAGTAGTTAGAGATATAAGTGTCTCACAGGGACTTTTCTGCCCAGGCTGGCTTCAAACTGTGCTCCTCAGATCTCATACTCCTGAGTACCTAGGATTACAGGCATTATCCACTGCCACCTGGCCAGGAAAGCTCTTAAAACATAGAACCCTCACTGATCCTAGCTACTTAGACAGAGACAGGAAAAACAGAGTATAAAATTAGCCCAAACAAAATTAACAAGACTCTCAAAAACAAAATACAAGCTAGACACTGGTGGTTGATGCCTGTAATTCTAGCTACTTAGGCGACTGAGATGTGAGGATCATAGTTCAAAGACAGCCCAAGCAGGAAAATCTATGTGACTCTTATCTCCAATAAGACTTTAAAAAAAAAAACATAAAAAAGCAAAATGTAGTATATTTAAATAGTAGTATAACTTAATTATAGGTAACTAAACATAATACAGAATAGAAGCAAATCATAGCCAGGCACAGGTGGCTCATGCCTATCATCCTAGCTACTCAGGAGTCTGACACAAGGATTTCAAGATAAAGAATTTTCTGCTTGCAGCAGGAAGTCGATGAGACAAGTCTTATCACCAGTTAACCATACAAATCAGTGGAGCTGTGGCTCAGCCTTGAGCAAAAATGCTAAAGAACAATTCCCACATCCCCTGAGTTCAAGCCCCAATACATGCACCAAAAAAAAAAAAGAAAAAAGGAAAGCCAGGTGTCAGTGGCTCATTCCTTTAATCCTAGCTACTTAGGAGTCTAAGATCTGAGCATCAAGGTTCAAAGCCAGCCCAGGCAGGAAAGTCTGTGAAACTCTTATCTCCAATTAATCACCAGAAAACCAGAAGTGGCGCTGTGGCTCAAGTGGTAGAGTACTTGCCTTGAGTTGAAGAGGTGAGGGACAGAGCCCAGGCCCAGAGTTCAAGTCCCACGACTGAACAAAAAAAAAAAAAAAGGAAAGGAAGGAAGAGAGGGAGAAAGGAGGAAGGGGAAGAGGAGAAGCAAATCATAAAATAATACAAACTATAATTACATTTAAAAAACTCAAAAACCTACAAAGCAAAATAATATGACAAAAACAGATGTGGAAAACCAGGCACAGGTGGCTCGTCTCTAATCCTAGCTACTCAGGAAACAGATCTAACCATCTGAGGTTCTAAGCCAGCCTGGGCAGACAAATCCAAGTAACCAGCAAATAGCCAGAAGTAGAGGTGTAGCTCAAGAGGTAGAGCACCAATCATGAGTAAAAAACCTGAGCAAGGCTCTGAGTTCAAGTACTAGTACAAAAAAAAAATTACAAAATAAAGCAAGAGAATGATAGCACAAAATTCAGCAGTGTTTAGGATCAGGATAGAACAGGGAAGGATCCGTAGGAAGAGTGATATGACTTCAAGGGTAACTATGCTGCTATATATATTAGACTGGTAGCTATGTGTGTTCTTTGTAGTAATAGTAGTAGTGGTGGTGGTGGTAGTAGTAGTAGGTTACATTTATTTTACAAGTATTCTTAAGTATCTGTTCTATCTTTAAAGATTTTTTTTTTTTTTTGTCCGTCGTGGGGCTTGAACTCTGGGCCTGGGCGCTGTCCCTCAGCTCTTCAGCTCAAGGCGAGCACTCTACCACTTGAGCTACAGCGCCACTTCCGGTTTTCTGGTGGTTTATTGGAGATAGGAGTTTCACGGTCTCTCCTGCCCGGGCTGGCTTTGAACCGCGATCCTCAGATCTCAGCCTCCTGAGTAGCTAGGATTACAGGTGTGAGCCACCAGCGCCCGGCTTTTTAAAGATAATTTTTAAATAAAGCCTGTAACGGAAGACCAGATTTTCCCATCTTTTTTTTTTTGGCTGGTTGGTTGGTTGTGAGCCTTGAACTCTGGGCCATGGTGCTGTCCCTCAGCTCTTCAGCTCATGTCTAGCACTCTACCACTTGAGCCACAGCGCCATTTCTGGTTTTCTGGTGGTTTACTGGAAGTAAGAGTCTCACGGACTTTCCTGCCTAGGCTGGCTTTGAACTTTGGTGCTCAGATCTTAGACTCCTGAGTAGCTCGGATTAAAGGAATGAGCCACTGACTCCTGGCTTTCCTTTTTTTTTTTTTTTTTTTGGTGTATGTATTGGGGCTTGAACTCGGGGGAATTGTCCTTTAGCATTTTTTGCTCAAGGCTAAGCCACAGCTCACAGACATTCCTGTCCAAGCTGGCTTTGAACCGCGATCCTCAGATCTCAGCCTCCTGAGTAGCTAGGATTATAGGCCACCAGTGCACAGCACTCCCATCATTTTTTTAAAAATATAAATGATAATTCCCACCAAAGAAATGAATCTGAATAACAGAGGACCTCTGATTAAATAAAGAGTTTTCTGTTAGCAGCCATACAAACAAAGGAATGGACACTATCCTCACGTAAACCCAGGAGTCACTGGCCAGTGAGATGGGAGACTGGCCAGTGAATTCAAAACCCCAGAAAAAGCTACGAGAGGCTCCCTGTAGGAAAGAGGCTTTATTGGAGATTCTCTTCTCCCAGGGGCTGCTACGAAAAAGATTTAAGGGCTTGACACTAAAGCAGCTGCCCTTAGGACACAGGAACCAGTACCAGTTAATCCTGGCTGCCCTCAGATAAATCCCATCACATGGCTACCATTCTTACCTGGGCATTGTCCGTGCAGAAACTGCCAGAGTCCTACAGTGCCCAGCTGCTGCAAGGTTAGGTCCTCTGCTTGCAAGGCTACATTCAGGTCCTCACCACGTACCTCAATCCCAAAAGACACTTCATTCACCTTCAAGACCAAAACTGAGACCTGTCAAAGAAGAGTTCTTAGTGCCAAGTCTCAAACATCCAGCCCAGAGCCTACCTCCTGCCCAGAAGAAAGTAGAGCAGCTGACCGGGTGAAGATCAAGGTGGCCAGGGGGTGAAACTGAACTGTTGGCTGCTGGGGACCCTTGGCCACAACTATCTATAACAGGGCTCGTGTCACCACCAGCATCATTCAGGACACTTGGCAAAGATCCTGGTAGACCAGATTCTGGACCAGACTCTGCATGAAAAACATAACAAAAGAGTTAAGAAGTAAAAACAACAACAACAAAAAAAAAAAAACCTGTTCAAATCCAATGTCTAAAAACAATGGCAACTGTGAAAACAAATATGACGTTAGTAAGACAACTGGAAATTTGAAGACTAGATATTTGGTGAATTTAAGGAATTATAGATTTTTAAATGTATAATAATGGTATTTTGTCACATTTAATAAAATCTGTCCATGGAAGGGACCCAACTGTCCACTGGTGGATGAATAGATAAATGAAATGTAGTATGTCTATACAGTGGAACAGTACTCAGCCTTAAAATATAAGAGGATTCTGACAATACTAAAAAAATTGTGGAATATAAGACATAGAATATAATCTAGCATAATATATATTACAGTACAATAAATTAGTCACAAAAGGATGAACACTGTATATGACTCCACTTAAACTCACAAAATTTACAGACAGAAAGCAGAAGAGTGAATGTGGAGGGCTGAGGGGCCACAGGAATGAAGAGCTGGTGTTCAGTATTGTGAGATAAAAAGTCAGGAAGAGGCTGGGAATGAGGCTTAGTGGTAAAGTGCTTGCCTATCATGCATGAAGTTCAACTTCATGCATGGGTTCAACTTCTTAGTACCACATAAACAGAAAAAGCTGGAAGTGGTACTGTGGCTCAAGTGGTAAGGTGCTAGCCTTGAGCTGAAGAGCCGAGGGACAGTTACCAGGCCCAGAGTTCAGGCCCCATGACCAGACCCAACCCCCCCCCCCCCCAAAAAAAAAATTTAGAAAATATTCAGATAGAATGAGGAATTGATACTGTGGCTCCAAGTGGTAGAGTGTTAGCCTTGAGCAAACATTTTAGCCAGCCAGCCTGAGCTACACAATGAGACCCTGTCTAAAAAAAGAAGTTTGTGCCAGGTGCCAGTGGCTCACACCCATAAATCCTAGCTACTCAGGAGGCTGAGATCTGAGGATTATGGTTAGAAGCCAGCCCAGGCAGGGAAGTTTATGAGACTCTTTTCACCAATTAATCACAGAAAAAGCCAGAAGTGGTGCTGTGGCTCAAGTAGTAGGGTGCTAGCCTAGAGAAAAAGGAGCTCATAGATAGCACCCAGGCTCAGATGACCAGTCATAGGACCAGCCAAAAAAAAAAAAAGTTTGTGTTTCCCAGCAAAGAATAACTGAAAATATTCAGATAAAATTTAGAAAATAGGGGCTGGGAAGTTGGCTCAGTGGTAGAGCGCTTGCCTTGCATGCATGAGGCCCTGGGTTCAATTCCTCAGCACCACATAAGCAAAAGAAAAAAAGCCAGAAGTGGCGCTGTGGCTCAAGTGGTAGAGTGCTAGCCTTGAGCTGAAGAACTGAGGGACAGTTCCCAGGCCCAGAGTTCAGGACCCACGACCAGACCCAAAAAAAAAAAAAAATAGAAAATATTCAGATAGAATGAAGAAGTGGTACTGTGGCTCCAAGTGGTAGAGTGTTAGCCTTGAGCAAAACATCTCAGGGACAGCACCCAGGTCCTGAGTTCAAGCCCCACACCCAACAAAATAATAATAATAATAATAAAAAAATATTTGTCCAAGAACTGGTGGCTTTCACCTGTAATCCTAGCTACTTAGGAGACAGATCTGAGAATCACAGTTCAAAGCCCAGGCAAGAAAGTGTGTTACTAAGCTGGGTGCCAGTGGCTCACGCTTGTAATCCTAGCTACTCAGGAGACTGAGATCTAAAGATCTCGGTTCAAAGCCAGCCCAGACAGGAAACTCCAAGAGACTCTTATCTTCAATAAACCACTAGAAAACCGGAAGTGATGCTGTGGCTCAAGTGGTAGAGAGCTCGCCTTGAGCTGAAGAGTGTAGGGACAGTGCTCAAGCCCAAAGTTCAAGCCCCAAGACTGACCAAAAAAAAAAAAGTCCGTTAGAGTCTTATCTCCAGTGAATCACCAGAAAACTGGAAGTAGCACTGTGACTCAAAGTGTTAAAGCCTAAGTCTTGAGCAAAAGTGCTCAGGGACAGTACCCAGGCCCTAAGTATACGCCTCATGACTGAAAAAAAAAAGACAATATCTTTTACATGAACATGTAGAGCACATCTATATCCTATCACTCCAGAGACTAAGGCAGTGGAGAGCAGTTTAAGGCCAATGACACCCTTTTTAAAAATAAAAATGGCATGTTTGGGATTTGTTTCAAGGTAAAATGGGATGAAGAGAAGTAGGCAATGGTGTACATATGAAATATGAATGTCTGTAAGTTAATGTTGAAATTTGGTAACATGTATGAGGATTCACTACTGGATTCTATCTTCTCTAGTTGGAGTAAGTAGTTCAAGTTTTACATACAAAATTTAAAGAATAATTTTTTAAAAACATAGGTACACTCCACCCAGCTTAAGACATAGTGCACTGTCTTACTGAAATAACAATAAATTCTCGACTCACACCTGTCAGATATCAAAAAGAACATGGGCACCAGTGGCTTACGCCTATAGTCCTAGCTACTCAAGACACTGAGATCTGAGGATTACAGTTCAAAGCCAGCCCTGGCAGGAAAGTCCATAAGACTCTTACCTCCAATTAACCACCAGAAACCCAGAAGTGGTGCTGTGGCTCAAACTGGTAGAGCACTAGCCTTGAGCAAAAAAAAGCTCAGGGTCAGTGCCAGGCCCTGAATTCCCCACAATGGGGTGGTGCGGGGGGGGGGGGGGGGGGGTGGAGGGGAGAACACAGGTGTTCTCAAAGATGTAGAGATGTAGGGACACCTAGAACAATGTGGGTGAAGAGATGTAAATCAACAGTCACTATGGAAATCAATATGATAGCTCTTCAAAAGACTAAAAGTGTTACCACATGATCTAGCAAGCCCTCCTCTGGATATGTAGCCAAGGAAATTATATCAGTATACCTGTGGATACACCTGCACTCATGTTCACTGTAGCACTTAATCCCCAAGTTGCAGAATCAACCTACATATGTCTATCAACTAATAGGTAGATGATGAAAACATGATGTATGCTCACATTGAAACACTACTTAGCCTTTAAAAACAAGGAAATCCTGTTGTTTAGGATAATATGGATGAACCTAGAGGACTCTGTGCTAATAAATGACCTAGGTACAGAAAGGCAAAAATCCAATATTCTCACTTATGCATGAAATCTGAAACAATCAAACACAAAGAGCAGAATGGTGGTTACCAGGGGCTGGGGAGTGGAGGGAATGGAGAGATGTTGGTCAAAGGGTACAATGGTTCAGCTAGAAAGGAAGAATAAATGATAAGTATTTGAGATAATGGATATGTTATTTAGCTTGACTTTACAATTCTACATTGCTCATCATATCATTTTCTATCTTGTAAACACACAGGATTATAATTTGTCAATATTCAATTTAAAAAAAGGAAGGCGCTGAGAGTGTAGCTCAGTGATAGATCATTTGTCAGCACGCTCACAGCCTGGAGTTGGAGTCCCCAGCAAGAAAGGAAAGAAAGAAAAGGAAAGGGGAGGGGGGAGGGAAGAAAGGAAGAAAAAAGAGGGAGGGAGGGAGAGAGGGAGGGAGGGAGGTAGGGAGGAAGAATTCTCTTTTTAGATACTCTCAAGTTATCTTGAAACTTTAAACTTTAAAAAGTTTCCATTTCATAATATAAAAGAACCTGTGTAATTCCAGAGGTGATTGATTTAATTCCTAGAAGTTATTCATTTTATCTATACACAAAAATCTCTATATAACTTTCCGACAATACAGGCAAAACCAAAAATGAACCCCAGAAAATAAACTACTGACACCAAATACAACATTAACCCTATTTCTACAAATACACAGATGTAAGGCTACTAGTTTCTCCTTTAGTTGGAATCTCATTCTATGCTAAAAGTCAAGTATTAGCCAATAACCTAGAAAATGTCAAGATAAAGTCAAAGCCACATTCTACTGAATTCTCGCTCTCTTTTTATCTCTATTATCAAGTCTCAGCTCCTCTTGAATCCTAGTTTGAGTATTGGCACAGAGACTTTTTGGACTTCTGTAGCTTTGTTCCCACATACCAGACTCCAAGAGCATCACAAAGCTATCACTGCCATCACTGTCCACTGAAATCCTGTCTTCAGGGCCACTGCTATCCAATGAGACGCCATCAAATGACTGCTGAGATACTGTCCTCTTCATGGAGAAAAATCGGAGTCGGGCAGCACCTCCACTCACTGGGGCTGCCACTCCTTCATCTGTCTTGGCCATAGGCTCCCTATTTAAAAAAACACACACAAAAAACAAAACAAAACAAAAAAAAAAAACAGAAAATAAAATGTACAAATGTGGCTTTGAAAACATTTTGTTCCTATCTCCAGGCAATACACTTCCCAACTCAAACACAAATGTGAACATAAATTTGGCTTTCCTCTGTTGCCTATTGTAAAGGATGAAATTCTTTTCAACCACAAAAGAGAACATCAGGCTCGACACTCGTAATTTATGCCTGTAATCCTAGTTACTCAAAGGCTGACATCTGAGGATCTCTGTTTAAAGCCAGGCTGGGCAGGAAAGTCTAGGAGATTCTTATCTCCAAACCACCACCAAGAAGCTGAAAATGGAACTGTGACTAAAGTGTACAGCACACCCAAGCCCTGAGTTCAAGCCTCAGGACCAGCACAAAAAAAGGAGACCAGTTACCAACATCCTGGGTGGAAGCTGATGGTACTACAGTCATCCTGTGTGCTCCGGGCAGGAACGCAGAAGAGAGAAAATAATGAGAAGGACATGCTGTGTCTCAAAGAATTTATAATCTATTGGGAGAGAGATTTACACACATATGAGAATAAATCATACCTGCCATAAAAGAAAGGCTAAGTAAAAGAACAAGAAGATAAAAAACAGTTTTGTGAAAGTGGTCAGTACAGGGCATTCTACCTGGGGGAAGTAGAGAGGGGATAGCAGGAACAGAGGCACAGAGTCACAAAGTGAGACTAGAAAGTAGCTCAGGCTAGCTCTAGTGGGTTTCATTGAAGAGAGCAAAGGAAGTGAAAGAAACTCGGTTGGGTACTGGATACCAGACAGGAAAGGGGAGACTAATGAAGGTGAATGAGGATGAATGTGCTCAAATAAGTTTATTTGCATATAGAGCAATAAAAATGGTTATAATTGTTTTAGAGATATAGGTATGGGTGAATAGTAGAGGAAGCGAGTTTGAGCAGGATACATGGTATAATTGTATGGAATGTCACAATGAAACACCCCCCCCTTTTTTTTTTTTTTTTGTCGGTCGTGGGGCTTGAACTCTGGGCCTGGGCGCTGTCCCTCAGCTCTTCAGCTCAAGGCGAGCGCTCTACCACTTGAGCTACAGCGCCACTTCCGGTTTTCTGCTGGTTTATTGGAGATAGGAGTCTCACGGTCTTTCCTGCCCGGGCTGGCTTTGAACCGCCATCCTCAGATCTCAGCCTCCTGAGTAGCTAGGATTACAGGCGTGAGCCACCAGCGCCCGGCTGAAACACCCTCTCTTGTAAAACAAATGTATGCTAATTTTAAAACACAAATTCCAAAAATATGCTGAAAATGAACTCACTAGCAACTTTAACTGCCATGGGAGTCCAGATGGACTGAAAAGAGACCACCAGTTTGGGCAGTTAGAAAGTCATTATTGAGGGGCTGGGAAGGTGGCTCAGTGGTAGAGCGCTTGCCTTGCACGCATGAAGCCCTGGGTTCGATTCCTCAGCACCACATAAGCAAAAAGAAAGCCGGAAGTGGCGCTGTGACTCGAGTGGTAGAGTGCTAGCCTTGAGCTGAAGAGCTGAGGGACAGCGCCCAAGCCCAGAGTTCAGGCCCCACGACCAGACCCAAAAAAAAAAAATGTATAAAAAAAAATTTTTTTAATTAAAAAAAGAAAGTCATTATTGATGTCTCAAAAGAGCTGTATCACATGCTTTTCCTTTGCCTTTTTTACCTCTTCCTTTCCCCATGTATCTTTATACTGTCCATTTAGACAATTTGGGGGGGGGAAATTGTTTTGATTTGCAGTAATAGGGATCCAACTCAAGGTCTTGCACAAACTAGGCAAGTGCTTTACCACAGAGCTACATTCTCAGCCTACTCGTCTCCATTTAGAAAAGGCAGCACAACAGACTGGTGATGTGGCTCAAGAGGTAGAATGGAAGCATGGCCCCTTAGGTCAATCCTCAGTATGGCAGAGAAGGATGCAGGGAAGGTAGGAAAGGAGGGAAGGAAAGCTGAAAGGAGAGAGGGAAACAAGAGAGAGCAGGCACACACTTGGGGATTAGAAAGTCCACCAAAAAGAATATACAAAAGCTGGGACATGGTGGTGCCTAACTATAAGCCCAGAACTCAAGAGGCTAATAAAGAAGGGATCATAAGTAACAACAAACAAAAAAATAGTATTTGTGCTAGGTGTGGCTCAGTAGTAGTGCACTTAGTATTCATGACGCCCTGGGTTCAATCCCCAAGCACCAAAAAAAAAAAAAAAAAAAAGACAAGACAAGCATAGTGACGCATGCCTATAATACCAATACTTGGGAGATAATAGCAGGAAGATCATGAGTTCAAAGACCATCCCAGGCCAGCCTGGGCTACATTAGCTTACAAATAAATAAACAAAAGTAAATCCAATAAAAATTATATAGATCCAGAACTGTTCTTCTGATATAACATCTATATCAATAATTATAAATCAGTAAAAGAGAAGATAATCTGATTCTAAGAGGTAATAAACATTGACTTGACAATTGCTCATTGAGCTGGCCATTCTATGTGTTCTCCTGGACTACATCATGGTGCTTTCAGTGTAGTCAGAAGGAAACTTTAACCCCAGTGGTTAGAACTTGAGGAGACAGGGGAACTAAAGGAGGCAAAGAACCACTCACTTGGCAGGGGGCAAGGACAACATCTTGTGCACTGTGGAGGTCATTCGGTCCCTTCCCAGACTGAAGGCATCCTTAGTTAAGGATACCGCTTCCTTGGTGAGGTCCATGGTGGCATGCAGAGCTTCCTTGGTAGCATCTTTGGTCATGTGAATAGCACTCGATAATTCTCCCTCAATGTTCTTCACAGGGATGGGGTCTCCTGGCCCGTTTACAGCAGGAACCTTGCCAGCTGGAGACTTCAACACAGTTGGTGAGGTGGAGGCTTGGGCTCTGCTCAGCTGCTTAGCCTGTAGGGACTCTACTGCCTCATGGCCCTTTCTTGCCAGTTGCTGTGCAGGTGGATCTGAGTCCTGCAGCTCTCCATTACTATGTGGCTGAGCTGCACCAACATTTTCAATGTTACTGTTCTCAAGCACCTTCTCAGGGCTTGCTGGGCCCTGGTCTGACGAGGCATCAGACTTTAGTTCCTGATCCTCTGATGGAGACAGCTCTGAATCTATGAGGCTAGTGGTATCTGAACCTGCAGAGTCACCATCCACAGTCCCAGGGGTAGGATGCATGAGCAGTGCTACCTCAGCACTAGGAAAGAAGACACCAATGCAAGCTGTCTGGTCCTGTAGGGGAGACCCAGTCATGGCCTCAGTGTCCTTAGTCAGCTGCTCCTGAAGCCCCTGCAGCACCTCCTTCAGTCGGAGCAAGGCCAGGTACTGGTAGTGGTCGAGCCTCACACAGATATGGGCAGGGGAGTGTACAAGCATGTGAACATCTGCTACATCCTCCAACTCTGTCAGAGGTCCTTTGTTGTCCACAGCACCACGGCCTTCTCTGATAATCTCTATGACTTCTGGAAGACCTGACAGGCTTTTTAAATCATGCTCAGTCTTTGACCTCTGATGAGGCACAGTTTCAGGGGCAAGGGCTTCAGAAAGGACAGGGCTGCCAAAGCTAGCAGATGGTTTCAGCCTCCCCTCTGAGGCCAAAAGGAGCTTCTGTGCCTGGGCTTGCTGCCAGCGGAGAGGCAGACAGGCCCAAATGGACAAAGGGAAGGGGGCCACAAAATTCAAGGTATGGCCTTTGAAGTTCTCTGTTCCTTCAAAGTCTAGGGAGATCTGGGTGAAGTAGATGGACCAGAGGTCTTGGGAAGCCTTAGGCTTTTGGGGAGGGTGAGAAGAATGGGAATCCATCTGGAAAGCATGATGTATAAAGAGCATGTGCAGAAGACTAAAGCCACCAGGAACCTTAGGAAAGTGGTCATAATTAGAATGAAAGAACTCAGCAGCAGCAAAACCCCGGAAGAGACTCTGGAGGTCTGGACAGCTACAGTGTGGGGCATGACGTGTGTTAGTGGCAATTATGCCTGATGCAGAGAAGACAAGTGCTTGGGGTCGATGCAACTCCGCCTGCTGTCTCTTTTCCAGTGGGAAGCTCACCTTCAAAGAGAAAATAAAATGTAGTTCAGAATGGCTCATGTGAAAGACCATTTGGGTTGGGAAACTGTTTTGTTTTCACTTCCACCAAATGGACAGAGAACCATGGAGGATAGTCATGGGGAAAATGCAGCTATGGTTATCAACAGGGGACAGAAATCCCACTTTACCTACCTTCATCCGGAAGGCATCCAGTCGAATGTCCAAGTGCTCATTTTTCTGTCTTGAATCTTCCAGCTTATAAATAGCTTTGAACTGCTCCAAGCTACGGTATAAATCTAGGCAGAAAAGGTTTCCCCAGAGCAAACTAACAGGATCCACAGTAAATGTCAGACCATTTAACTGAATGTAGAGATTGGGACAGGGAACTGTAATGCAGAAAGAAAAGAATCATCAAGTATAAAGCAGAGGCTAGTAAGAGCCTTCTTATTTACTAGCCAGTATTTATTTTGTTGTCAATAGAGCAAAGATACATATTCATACAGGGCAGTTTTTTGTTTTGTGTGTGTGTGTGTGCGCACGCGCGCACGTACCTGACTAGAGCTTGAACTCAGGGCCTAAGCACTATCCCTAAGCTTCTTTTGCTCAATGTTAGCACTCTACCACTTGAGCCACGAACTTTTTTGGTAGTTTATTGGAGTTAAGAGTCTCAGGGATGGGCTGGGAAGTTGGCTCAGTGGTAGAGTGCTTGCCTACATGCATACTGCCCTGGATTCAATTCCTCAGCACCACATAAGCCGAAAAAAAGGCGGAAGTGGAGCTGTGGCTCAAGTGGTAGAGTGCTAACCTTGAGCTTAAGAGCTAAGGGACAGCACCCAGGCCCAGAGTTCAGGCCCCATGACCAACCAAAAAAAAAAGTCTCGGGGAAGCCAGGCACCAGTGGCTCACCCCTGTAATCTTAGCTAATCTGAAGGCTGAGATTTGAGGATTGTGGTTCAAAGCCAGCCTGGGCAAGAAAGTCCATGAGACTCTTATCACCAATAAACAACCAGAAAATCAGAAGTGGTGCTGTGGCTCAAGTGGCAGAGCGCTAGCCTTGAGCTGAAGAGCTGAGGGACAGCACCCAGGCCCAAAGTTCAAGACCCATGACCAACCAAAAAAAAAAAAAACAGTCTCAGGGATTTTCCTGCCTGGGCTGGCTTCAAACCACAATCCTCAGATCACAGCCTCCTGAGTAGCTAGGATTACAGGTGTGCATCACCAGCAGTAGGGCAAATTTATGCAAAAATCCTAACAACACATACAACAAAGCTGACAAAGTTTAAAAGAAGAAATGGCCAGCACTCATGCTCACCTGGAAGCTCCTGATTATCTGGAAAGTAATACTCTGTGAACTCAACATGAATGGCAGAGACCTGAGTAGGGAGGTTGTGGAGTTTGCGACTGCAGGAAAGAAGTGTAGATGGCTTCTTACTGGGCTGTCCAGCTGTAGAAACCTAGGCAATCACAATTTACTATTAATACCTAGAGCAGTACTCACAACAGAATTCTTTCCTCTGAGAAGTACCTGCTCCATCCTTCCCTGTCACAGTGCTTGTCATGCATTCCTAAAATTTTCACACCTGCCTGGAATCCTCCCCAAGTTACTTTTTCAGCAGGAGGTTGTAGTAAGTCATTCAGGAAAAAACTAGGAGACTTTCCAAGTCCTTTTCTTAGAAGAAACAGACCCAACTGTCAATCTACTCAGAACTGAAGCAAATAGTCCCTGGATTCCAGTTTGTTCACACTGTGCTAGATGTCTTCTAAGTGAACTTTCTAACCATGTTTCTAATATCCTTACCTGGTGGATATCCAGGTCATCCACTCGCACAACCATGCAGCTAGAGCGTAAGCGATTCCATGCTGGAGGTCCAAAGGCAGCCTGTCTGCCCTGAGAAGGATTTTTTTCAAGAGAGTTCTTTCGAGGACTAGAAAATGAGTCTAAATATAAAAAGATGGGAATTCTATTAATTCACTCTTGATAGAATTAGGAAGGTGAAAAATCCTAAAATCATGAATGCTGTAAGTAGAAGTGTTTAACCTAGATGGAACCCAATCAAATTCTCCTTAAGACCAAGGTAGCATCAAAGACCATTGACAGATAATGACAGCTTCCCTCTAACATGACAGCTACCTTTAGAAAAAGTGACATAAATAAGAAAAAATACACCATCACACCATGTAATGATTAGATATGTTATTGTTTTATCTCCATTGTTTCTCAAAGACAAATGGCAAGGGGTTAAGCAACTACAGTCTTGCAGTTTCTTTTAACCCACCTGCCTTCTTCCGGAAGGAAGAATCTACCCCCAGATGCCAGGGTGATTTCAGACCTGTCTCTTCATGCCACTTCTCCATTTTACTCTGAAATTCCATCACCAGCTTCTGGGCCCAGTGGCCTCGGGTTTCCATGGCCTCACAGTGCCGTACCCAATGTTTGCAGCTATCACCTGGGCAACACAGAAGCAAAAAGAATTCAGCTCTAAATCATGGTCCAATGTTCCAATTTTTCCTTCCTGTCAGTACAGTCACAGTTCATTCCCAATCCTACAAGAATTCTCTCTAGGATAAGGAAAAGTTACCCACTGAGCATAACCAAGTTTTTCTGAACTCTACATGTAAATTTTCCCTAAGAATGCTAAAGGCCAGTTGCTGACTGCTGTCATCTTTGACCATGGTCTACTGGAAAGACTGTAAACCTAGTGGAGATAAGAAGCTGGAAGGCAGAATCAAAAGCAACACATTAGCTGAGCTCACACCTGTAATCCTAGCTACTCAGGAGATCTGAGGATCACAGTTCAAAGCTAACCCAGGCAGACAAACTTGAAAGACTCATAACTCCAATTAACCACTAAAAAGGTGGAAGTGGAGCAGAGGCTCACACACTAACTAGCCTTGAACACAAAAGCACACAGGCCCTGAGTTCTAAGCTCCAGGACAGGCACAAAAAAGCAGCACCTTAGGCACTTGTTCCCCACTTCCTCTCATCAATCATCAGTATGAGACCATCCATGTTTCCAGAAGATGTCCTCTTGGATACTCCCAACATCTCTCTGAGCATGCACTGCAATCTCTGACACCTCCTAGTCAGTCAGGGATGAAACCAGGAATCCATCCTTGATATTCTTAGTCATGCTACAACTGAACCCATTCAGATTTCTCCTAACCTGCCCAGTGGAAGGGGTAGTAGTCAAATGCCATCCTGCGGAAAGTAAGCTGCATGGCACCGCCCATGAGTCTATTTGCAGAGACACCTACAAGAGAAAAATATGGGTGAATAGCACTGGAACAAAGAAGCCTAACCACCACCTGAAGGATTTAGGAGTCCTCTGGAGGGACAGCATGAAAGCCCAGTTGGTGATACAATGTAGCTCAAAGGCCATTATGCCAGGTGACTTTCAAAACTTCAGCCCTACTCTTTTGAGTTGCAGTAGTAAACAGACATGCTCTAAAAGATCCCCCTTTTCAAAATTAAAAAAGTAGAAGAGCCGGGCACCAGTGGCTCATGCCTGTAATCCTAGCTACTCAGGAGGCTGAGATCTGAGGATCACCGTTCAAAGCCAGCCAAGGCAGGAAAAGCTGTGAAACTCTTATCTCCAATAAACCACCAGAAAACTAGAAGTGGTCTTGTGGCTCAAGCAGGAGAGTGCTAGCCTTGAGCTGAAGAGCTGAGGGACAATGCTCAGGCCCAGAGTTCAAGCCCCAGGACCAAAAAAAAAAAAAAAAAAAAAAAGAGTACTCCATTGTCTCTATTTTAAATGGCTGACAGGTTTCAAATATTCACAGAGTAAACCACACCAAGGTATGATCAGCTAGGTTATTAGTCTCATATTTAAAAATATCTCATTCAGCCAGGTGCTGGTGGCTCACACCTGTAATTCTAGCTACTCAGGAGGATAAGATTTGAGGATTGCTATTCAAAGCCAGGCTGGACAAAGAAGTCCATGAGACTCTAATCTTCAATTAATCAGCAAAAAGCCTGAAGTGGAACTGTGGTTCAAGTGGAAGAGCGCTAGTCTTGAACAAAACAAGCTCAGGAAAAGTGCTCAGGCCTTGAGTTCAAGTACCAGGGCTGGTGCACATACGAACATACACACACGCACATGCACACACACACACAAAATCTCATCCAAAACTCCCTTAAATTGCACCAAGCAGACTGATTTAATTTAAAAATATTAAGTCAAGCCGGGCGCTGGTGGCTCACGCCTGTAATCCTAGCTACTCAGGAGGCTGAGATCTGAGGATCGCGGTTCAAAGCCAGCCCGGGCAGGAAAGACCGTGAGACTCCTATCTCCAATAAACCAGCAGAAAACCGGAAGTGGCACTGTAGCTCAAGTGGTAGAGCGCTCGCCTTGAGCTGAAGAGCTGAGGGACAGCGCCCAGGCCCAGAGTTCAAGCCCCATGACCGACAAAAAAAAATAAATAAAAATATTAAGTCTCCCTTTCCCACAGTATAACCCCTGTTTTCACTGTATTTGATGCTGGTATAATTTGTAGAGGGGAAGGGAGAAAAATTGTTTAAATAGGGATACAGGTGGACTCATTGCAATAATGAGATGTACAAGACGTTATGTCGAAAAACGAACTTTACAACTCTGGCGGGGGGGGGGGGGGGGGGGGGACGACAAAGGAGGAGGCAACAATTTGATTTGTAACCGCTCTGTGAGGTATTTTCACAATTAAAAAAAAATTAAGTCTACAATCATTCATGTCTTAGCATGAATTACATGGCCTGGATACTTGGAGAAGACTGTGCTGCACATCTCTTATTAACAAGCAATATAACCAAACTCTCATTTATTTGCTCTTAAGACTTCTGAAAGGACAAAAAACAAAAAGAGGGGAGGGGAGGGGAGGGGAGGGGAGGGGAGGGGAGGGGAGGGGAAGGGAGGGGAGGAGAGGAGAGGGAGAAAGGGGAAAGGGAAAGCAAAGGGAACTGAATCAACGTCTTATTAAGAGGCAATTATAGCTAGGCACCCAGTGGCTCATGCCTGTAATCCTAACTACTCAGGAGGCTGAAATCTGAGGATCAAAGTTGGAAGCCAGCCAGTGAGACTCTTACCCATTTAACCAATTGGGGGGGGGGGGGGGGCACACAGAAGCAGAGCTGTGGCTCAAAGCAGTAGTGTTAGCCTTGAGCAAAAGTGCTCAGAGACAATACCCAGACCCTGAGTTCCAGCCCCACAACTGACCAAAAAAAAAAAGGCAATTTTAGGATGGAGTATAGCTCAGTGGCCTAGCACGTGCAAGGCCCTAGGTTCAGTTCCTAGCACTGAAAAAGTATGACAGGTGACCCCTAAAGGCTGAATAATAGCACTGACTCACATCAACCTGTAGCTACCACAGAATGGCTGAGGCCCAAGTAACATCTGTGATAAAATGAAACCAACCCATAGACTCTACAGTGCTCCTAGAAAATAGCCTATCTCGGGCTCTGTCCAAAATTAGAAAATGGTTTGCACTCATCCCAGGCTCATGCCTCGCAGTACCTGGCTCTCGGGATTGGCTGTCATCACAAATATGAAGGTCCAAGCGGGAGATAAGGAGATGATAGGAGGACTCTTTCACGTCAAATTTCTCAAAGTACTGGCTGAGACGGCTGCTGCTGCTGCTACTGTTGCCCTGGCTGCCACCAAATGCCTGGGCCCATGTCTGCTGGGCACTGGGTGCAGGTGGAGTAATCTAAAAGTGATACAGAGAAAAGAAGAAAGTCCGGATATTGAGAGGCTCTCCTTCATGGACTTTCTTTAAGCTTCATCCTGATCTGAGCAAAACCACAGTTTATCAGAATATCCCTTCCCTATCACTCCTGCTTGCCTAGTAGCATAATGCTTTCCCAACTAAATAATCCACACTCCAAAATGCCTAATTGTAATTAGTCTAGTAACTGAATTTTCTTCTCATGTCTGAATTGCCTTTCAAGCTAATCTCCACCAGGAATTAGCTGACTGATGTTAAAATATCTCTTCCAAGTCTTTCCTAAACGCTCTCTTGCAAACTGCACGGAAAGATGCCCCTTCTTGGTGCTCTCAGGGCAATGATCCCCTCTGTTACAGTGCTCATCACACCCCACTCTAACAACTTGCCTATGGTCTATTGTCTGAGACAGTGAAAGTCCCAACAGGATCAAAAGGCTTTTTCTACTTTTCCTCCTCAGTGGCTTAGCCTGTGTAGCTGATGCAACAGTACCCAGGGATCAGAGTAAATGAAATACAAAAGGTTCAAGTCAAATAAAGTGCCAGTCCCACCTATGTTGGTACAAATAAAGTCTGGTCCACTACCTCCCCACCCCCACAAGGGTGTCCACTTTGTGTGTAACCTGGACAGGTTCAGGGGCCAAACTCTTTCTTTGCTGGGCTGCCTTCTCCATGGCTTCACTCAGCGACTCAGCATACTTCATCATAGCCTTGAGCTGTGAGTCAGTCAGTACCCAGAGCAGGTCATCCAGCAGAAACATCAGCTTGGAGGCTATCACATTGCAATCTTTGGTCTGGGGTGGGGAGAAGGAACAGAGAACATGGGGTTTAGCAGCTTGTATCGTTCCAATCCCACAGCGACTGATGTCCAGTTTAGGAGTAGCAAGCACTATAGAATATACAAGTTTAGGCAGGTGCAAGTGGATCATGCCTATAATCCTAGCTACTCAGGAGGCTGACATCTAAAGACTGTGTTCAAAACCAGCCTGAGCAGGAAAGTCTGTGAGGCTCTTATCTCCATTTAACCACCAAAATGCCCAAAATAAAGCTGTGGCTCAAGTGGTAGAGTGCTAGTCTTGAGCACAAAAACTCAAGGATAGAACCTGGGCCCTGAGTTCAAGCCCCAGGACTGGCACACCCACAAAAACAAGAACTCAGGTTTGCTTGACTAACAAAAAGCAGCAATAGTCAACTGCCAGGTGCCCTATGTCAATGTGCCTAAATGTGGGTAAAAATTGTGGTATCCAAAATTTTAAAATCAGGCGTTGGAAATGCCCTCTCACTAACAGCATTATGCAACACTGAATTGCAGGTTCTCCTGTTACTGCTGTCTTTCCAAGTGCCACTAATTCTACAATGAGAGGATAGTACCACCCAGGCTGTCTAGGAAAAGAAATGAGAGGCTTTCATGAGGACAGGGGACAAACTCACTCTTCTCTTGAGAGCTATCTGGATCCTGCCTTGGTTGGTAATAAGCCTCAGTGGGGTGGTGACTGGGTCCTGATCACCATTATCTGTAGCATCTGCTTCAATTCGAAGTGTTTGCCAAGTTATTTCCTTAAATGTTAAAACCTGAAAGAAAAAGTAAAATTTCTTTTTTGTTGTTGGTTGTGAGGCTTGAACTCAAGAGCCTGGGCGCTGTCCCTGAGCCTCTTTGTGATCAAGGCTAGTGCTCTACCATTTGAGCCACAGCTCCACTTCGTTTCTGAGTGGTTAAAGAGTCTCACAAGGACTTTTCTGCCCAGGCTGGCTTCAAACCAAAATACTCAGATCTCAGCCTCCTGAGTAGCTAGGATTACAGGCTTGAGCCACTGGCACCCAGCTAAATATCTGCATACAGAGAATAACATTAACCAAGAGGCAGGAAGTCCAGGAAGTCAGAGACTTCCATCTTCCTAAGTTGGGATCCTAACAACATAAAATAGTAGGTTAGGGGCTGGGAAGGTGGCTCAGTGGTATTGTGCTTGCCTTGCATGCATGAGGCCCTGGGTTCGATTCCCCAGCACCACATAAGCAAAATGAAAAAAAAAGCCGGAAGTGGCCCTGTGGCTCAAGTGGTAGAGCGCTAGCCTTGAGCTGAAGAGCTGAGGGACAGCACCCATGCCCAGAGTTCAGGCCCCACTATCAGACCCCCCCCTCCAAAAAAAGTAGTAGGTCAGAAATCTGTATTCAAGGAAAGGATTTGGTTAAAAGAATTGATGAAAAATAACTTAAAAACACTCACCTTCCCCCCCCCCACTGAGAGCCATCTTAGAACTGTCCTTGCTTCCAACCCTGTTAAATCACCTCCACTCCCCTTCCCCCTGAACAAACACACCAGAGGGTCTTGGAAGAAAGCCTAAGACCAAGGCCATGTCTGCCCTGACCCTCCTGGCAAACACAGATATGTTTGAAACCTTGAAACCCTCTACTCAAGATAAGATTGCTCTCCCACCTGCCTCCATCTCACCCTGTTCCCATCTACCCCATGTGATTTCACTTTTTCTGCCTAATATTTAAAGGGACCCAAGTTGTAAGGGATATGTGCCATTTCCTCTTCAAGGCTGAAGAAGACTGGGTTGCCCTTCCTGAATAAAACTGTTGGACTAGAGGCTGGGAAGGTGGCTCAGTGGTAGAGTGCATGCCTTGCATGCCAGAGGCCCTGGGTTCGACTCCTCAGCACCACATAAGCAAAAAGAAAAAAGCCGGAAGTGGCATTGTGGCTCAAGTGATAGAGCACTAGCCTTGAGCTAAAGAGCTGAGGGATAGCGCCCAGGCCCAGAGTTCAGTCCCCACGACCGGACCCAAAAACTGTTGGACTAGGGCTGGGAAGGTGGCTCAGTGGTAGAGCATTTGCCTTGTATGCATGAGGCCCTGGGTTTGATTCCTCAGCACCACATAAGCAGAAAAAGCCAGAAGTGGCGCTGTGGCTCGAGTGGTAGAGCACTAGCCTTGAGCTGAAGAGCTGAGGGACAGTGCCCAGGCCCAGAGTTCAGGCCCCATGACCAGCCAAAACAAAACAAAAAAAACTTGTTGGACTGATGCATTCACCTTTCTGCCTTTTTATTTTCTTACAGAAAGAACATCTTTTTAAGAATTTCTGAGGCTGGGAAGTTGGCTCAGTAGTAGAGTGCTTGCCTCCAATGCATAAGGCCCTGGGTTCAATTTCTCAGCACCACATAAGCAGAAAAAAGTCGGAAGTGGCACTGTGGCTCAAGTAGTAGGGTGCTAGCCTTGAGCTGAAGAGCTGAGGGATAGCACCCAGGCCCAGAATTCAAGCCCCATGACCAACAACAACAACAAAAAAAGAATTTCTGCTACTTTGGGCAAGACTGATTAGAATATATATATGATAAAGACACACATGAATATTTAACAATAACCCCTCTTCTGTATAACTAATGTAGGCTAATTTTTTTTTAATTCTCCAACTTGATTCTCTCCCTCAAAACACTAAAGCCCTTACCTCTCCTCGGCGGGGATCAGTGATGCGTGTCAGACGAAGGTCACTCTGCTGCCAGCTGGGGTTGACACTATAGCCTTGGAGCTGCCACAGTTCAAAAGAAGCATGGAAGGCCTTGGAGTGAATCTTGATGGTGATGGAATTAACGATGATGAACATCCCCTCCACCACTTTCTCAGCAAAGCCATACTCACTACAACAAATGAGGTAGACCAATGATCAGTCATATGAGACCTTATACAGAATTTACACTAGAAGACATTGGACTAAGATATTGAACATGAGAACTATGAGTGCTTATTCTTCTTTATGTCTCCTTTTGTTGCTTTTTTTTTTGGTCAGTCATGGGGCTTGAACTCTGGGCTTGGGTGCTGTCCCTGTGCTCTTCAGCTCAAGGCAAGTGCTCTACCGCTTGAGCCACAGCACCACTTCCAAAAGTGGTAATAAAAATAAAATTCTTATTTTTAACTAAAAATATGATCTTCAGCAACTGACCTCTGTCCTGAAGCAAGAGCAATGGGTGACTGTCCATTGGGGGGTCGAGGCTCCTCGCACGTCTTCATCTCCACCTCTACCTTATCCAGACACTGGAATGAAAGCCATGCAGAGCTGAGCATACAAAACCCACACACAAAACCCACACATACTGACTATTACCCAACAGTCACCACGAACTGAACTTCTGACTTTACATGTCAGAAGTCCAAGGGAAAACAATTAAATCTAAGAGTCTTAACAGCAAAAACTCAGACTTCTCAGTGCTAATTTCTATTGTAGAGAGAAGTTCTGGAGTAAGACCAAACAACAGTTACTGTGTCAGTATAGCTCTCTGAGCCTAACGAAGCACCTATCACTCCCAAAAAGGTCAACTTGTCATGACTCTTCCCCACCTCCTCTCCTTACTTTTAAAAACACACCCTACTTATCCCCATTTGATTACTTGCTAACAATAAAGGCCATTACCAAGCAAATGGGGTGCGTCTTCAACTTTGTCCACTGAATCTGAAAGAGGAAAGCAAAGGCTCAGTGCTGTGGGAACTGCCCCAAGAAGGTAGGCCTGCCAGCCAAAGACAACAGCATCACTCTGATCCCTATTCTCACCCGGATAGAAGCCCTGTTGCAGTAGACCCTAGTGATGGCTAACCATGTAGGCAGTTCCAGCACATTCTGTAGAACTTCTTCATCCAGCTCCAAATTGGTCAGTTGACCCTCCCCTTTCAGGGTGCTCAAGTTGATTTTGTCCGGGGAAAGATTCTTAGTGAACCTGAAATGAATGATGATGCAAAGCTATTATGTTCGTGGGAATTTGCTAAGAGCATACGATAGTTAGTAACATTTCTAAAATTGGAGAAAAGAAAAAGTTAAAGAACAGCTAGTGGCCATGCTATGTAAGATGTTAGATGTGTTACAAGGTGCTGGTGGTTCACACTTGAAATCCTAGCCACTTAGGAGGGTAAGAATGGATTCTATTTTGATGCCAGCCACAAGCAGAAAAGTTCACAAAACGTATTCCTAATCCATAGTTAGGTGCAGTAGCACATGCCTGTCATCCAGTGCTTCATGGAAGGTTGAGATTGGCAGGATTAAGTTGGGCACTGTTGGCTCACGCCTGTAATCCTAGCTACTCAGTATCGAGGTTTGAAGCCAGACCAGGCAGAAAAATCCCCATGAGACTCTTAGCTCCAATTAACCACCCAAAAACTGGAAATAGAATATTGGGTGCCGATGGCTCATGCCTGTAATCCTAGCTACTCAGGAGGCTGAGATCTGAGCATCACAGTTTAAAGCCAGCCCAGGCAGGAAAAGTCCATGAGACTCTTATCTCCAATAAACGACTCAGAAAACTGGAAGTGGCGATGTGGCTCAAGTGGTAGAGCACCTGCCTTGAGCTGAAGAGCCCAGGGACAGAGCCCAAGCCCAGAGTTCAAGCCTCATGACTGACAAAAAAAAACACAAACCTGGAAATGGAGCTGTGGCTCAAAGTGGTAGAGCACTAGCCTTGAGCAAAAGAACTTAGGGACAGTGCCTAGGCCCTGAGTTCAAGCACTATAATGAGGAGGAGGGAGAAGGAGAGAGGAAGAGGAGGAAGAAGAGGAGGAAGAGGAGGAGGAGGAAGAGAGAGAAAGAAGAAAGGAAGGAGAGAGAGAGAGAGAAAGGGGAGGGAGAAGGAGAAGGAGAGGGAGAAAGAGAGGGAGAAGGCAAAGGAGAGGGAGAGGGGCTGGGAAGGTGGCTCAGTGGTAGAGCGCTTGCCTTGCATGCATGAGGCCCTGGGTTCGATTCCTCAGCACCACATAAGCAAAAAGAAAAAAGCTTTTTCTGCTGGAAGTGGTGCTGTGGCTCAAGTGGTAGAGCACTAGCCGTGAGGGACAGTGCCCAGGCCCCACAACTGGACCCCAAAAAAAAAATTTCAGCTGGGCACTGGTGGCTCACGCCTATAATCCTAGCCTTTCCTACCCGGGCTGGCTTTGAACCACGATCCTCAGATCTCAGCCTCCTGAGTACCTAGGATTACAGGCGTGAGCCACCAGCACTCGGCAAACTTTTGATATTTCTGAATCCCCACATGCAAAACAACTAAATAGATGGGGCTGTGAAGGTGGCTCAATAGTAGAGCGCTTGCCTTGCATGAATGAGGCCCTGGGTTCGATTCCTCAGTACCACATAAGCAAAAAGAAAAAAAGCCAGAAGTGGTGCTGTGGCTCAAGTGGTAGAGCCCTAGCCTTGAGCTGAAGAGCTGAGGGACAGCGCCCAGGCCCAGAGTTCAGGCCCCAAGACTGGACCCAAAAACAAATAAACAAACAAACAACTAAACAGCAACTCAAAAAGTCCATGGGTATATGCATCTGAGTTAAAAAAAAAAAAAAAAAACTGGGGCTGGAAAGGTGGCTCAGTAGTAGAATGCTTGCTTCGCATGTGTAAGGCCCTGGGTTCAATTCCTCAGCACCACATAAGCAGAAAAAGCCGGAAGTGGCGCTGTGGCTCAAGTGGTAGAGCGTTCACCTTGAGCTGAAGAGCTGAGGGACAGCCTCAGGCCCAGAGTTCAAGCCTCATAACCAACCAAAAAAAAAAAAAAAAGGTCCATGGAATCAATTGGCCTGACCCTGTCAAGGCCAACCCCACACAGCACTCAAATCTCAATAAACCTAGGGCTTTACTCATAACATAAATACATATTGAGTGAATCATAACAGTAAGGTAAATTTTAAGGGACAGGAAAGGAGCATCCCTTATAGGACAGACAGGCCACATACAAGCATGATAGGACAAATGTGCTTCTCATTGCAGCTTGTCTGCCTATATTGTGTGGACTCAAGAGGAAGTGTAGTGCTAAGTAGTCAAACATGTTCATAAGATTTTATAAACTGTGAGCTGAAATCAAGCAGTTCATGGAGATGAAGGGAAAATCTATCAGGGAACTCAGTGATAGCAATTGTGTGACCTAGCACTCACAGTGAACATTACCAAGTACCTCTCAGAGCTGAAAGTCCAGCTTCTTAAGACCATTGGTTTCAAATGTGAAATCATTTACAACTAAATTAAGGCTAGTAAAGCACAACTCAAAGGAAACGTATTATTGTGCATTTCTCCACTCTGGAAGGTCAAAAGCCTTCTAGGACACTTGAATGTACTGGTGCAAAACAAATTTAATGAAAGACTCAAGGACATGAAAAGTAAACAAATGGAACTGAACATCTTTGCTACACCACTGAATGTGGAACCAGATGACACACCTGATAAGTACAACAAAAAATCATCCATCTGCAAAGCTATGATGAGCTGAAACCTAGGTAAAATAACTTCCCACTGCCTGAGTTCTGTAAACATTACTTAAGCAATGATGATTTTCTCACTGTGGGGAGACATGCACTAAAATACTGATCTGTGTCCCGAACAACTTCCTGCTGCAAGCAGTTCTTTTCAAAACTTATCATCCCCAAAAGTTGACTATGCTTTAGACTGACACAAACCTAGAAAGCAGATCCAAGTAGTAACATGGTCAATACTAGCTAATGCTACTCACCTTACAAAAAAGAACAGCTCTAGCCAAAACACTAGGTAAAAGATAATTAAATGTTTGACCAAATATAGCAGGTTAGTCTTTAACTTGTGTGTGTGTGTGTGTGTGTGTGTGTGTGTGTGCGCGCGCGCGCGTTTATGCCAGTACTCAGGGCCTCATGCTCACTTAGCTTTTCCACTCTACCACTTCAGCTGGTGCTCTTCCACTTGAGCCACAACTCTAGTTATGGTTTTTGCTCCTTCATTAGAGATGAGAGCCTCTAGGTTAGGCACCAGTGTCTCACACCTGTAATCCTAGCTAGCTACTCAGGAAGCTGAGACTAAGGATCATGGCCCAAAGCCAGTCCAGGCAGGAAAGTCTATGAGACTTTCAGCTTCAATTAAGCACCAAAAAAGCGCAAGTGGTAGAGTGATAGCCTTGAGCACAAAGTTCAGGGGCAGTGTCTAGGCCCTGAGTTCAAGCCCCAGCCACAGGACTGCACACACAAAGTCTCCTAGATTTATCTGCCTAGGCTAGCTTTGAACCTCAAACCACAGATCTCAGCCTCCTGAGTAGCAAGGATTACAGACATGAGTCACTGGTTCCCATGTAAATTTTGTATAGCCTGTGAAGATGTTATCCAAACGACTGTTGGCGGAAAAAAGTTTCCCATTTATACTCTAAGGACTGATAGTAATACATGATGACTCCTACAAGCTGTTTCCTTGAACAATAGTGACTGTACCATTTGACAATGGGAATAAGTTCTGAAAAATGCATTAGGCAATTTTGTCACGATGAAAACAAACATCTGTGTATATGTACTCAAACCTGGATAATATAGCCTACTACACATGGAGGCTGTATGGTACATATGTTCCATCAGTTAGTTTGGCCTATCACCACCAACCAAAGTATCATTATGTACTATTTAACTATACACTTTTTCACTTATCAATTTACTTTTAGGATTCAACAAAAAATAAACAACAGGGGCTGGGAAGGTGGCTCAGTGGTAGAGCGCTTGCCTTGCAAGCCTGAGGCCCTGGGTTCGATTCCTCAGCACCATATAAGCAAAAAAGAAAAAAGCCGGAAAGTGGTGCTGTGGCTCAAGTGGTAGAGTGCTAGCCTTGAGCTGAAGAGCTGAGGGACAGCGCCCAGGCCCAGAGTTCAGGCCCCACAACCGGACCCAAAAAAAA